GAAATGTGCTTCCCCTTGCTGGGTTGGAAGCTTTAATCATGGCTGGAGACACAGCTCTGCATAAACCAAGATAAAACACCTGAACTCCCAGCCTTGCATTACTGACACAGACCGCCTAGGAGTCTTCAGCACTCATCATTTTGCCTTGGTTTGCCATTGTAGAGCTGAAACTGTTCAATACTGTCCCACAACTCTGCAAGAAAATACGTCCACTGCCTTTTCTCTGCTTTTACTATCCCCAAATGGTCATCAAAAGAAGTGACAGGATAACCACCAGCACTGTCGAACATTTAAATCCCCTTTAAATTCCAGTCATTACAAGACATTATTTCCCAGTATGCTTGAAATTTAATGAAAATGTATCACTGATTTTTTAAATTTAATTTTCTTTACATTTTTATTGTTTTGCAGCTCACAGTGAGAATGAGCCCCTTTTCCTTCAAAGTAGTGCTCACTTTGCCTTAAAGTGTTGGATACTGACAGGTGTCTAGTACTGGGGGCAATGACACAGAAGCATGAATCCTTAGAAATCTTGCCTAACTCTGCCTTCATGTTCCCCACCTGTTTGCACAACCTCATCACCCAAAGGCCTTCAACCCAGACCAAGGTTCCACATTGCTACATGCCATACACATGGGGAGTAAGAGGCAAATCACACTGAAGAGGTTGCCAAGCTACAAGGACAGAAGAGATTTTGAGAGGAAGGAGAGGAGAAACGCTACATTCAAAGTCGTTTAGCACAGCAGTGGTTACTGGGAATGAAACAGGTCTCCAGAATGCCAGCCCAGCTGCCTCTGGATTAAGCTGCCTCCAAGAGCTGTACACAAGCAGATTTCATCTTGGCTATGGTGCATGGTCAAACAAGATTTTTTTTTTGTTACTTAAATACTTCACAAATATTGGCCAAAGAGCATTTTCTCTTAGAAAAACCTTAAAATACCACCAGAGCAGGTACACTTATTACCTGGTACACCTCCTACAAAGTGCTATTTTGCCAAATAGACATTCTGTTGGAAATTCAGGATAAAACTCAAGAGTTTCAGAAGGTAGGTGTCCAATTCCAGACAAAGCAATCATCATTCAATACATAATTCACAGCAGGGACAAAGAACCCTGAGCTTACATGTGCTGCTATTTCCAGTATTTCATTTTCATAGTCTCTGCTGGAAGCCCTTTCTCCAGAGTCACAAAGTTTTCTTGTTTTTTAAAAAATGCAAACATTTGTTTTATGGGCTAAAATTTGTCATTTTTGGTTTGGGGTGTTTTGGTTTTTTTTTTTTTTTTTGGTTAAGATCTTGCTGCACTGATCTCTTATGCAAGGATTTAAGCAGAACAGGTTAAAACTGGGGAAAATACCCTTTAACAGAGGAGTCAGATCACCACAGCATTCACTAGGCCTCTACTTATGGGGTTCACACAAATTTATGACTTGCCTCTGCTCCCATCCATGGAAATTATGCACCTAATATCTTGGTTTTTACTAATGATAGATACAGTGGGTTGTCTGCCTCTGAACTTTCCAATGCATTACTGCAATAAAGAAGGTGTGATACGCACACAGAAGCACACTGCAGCTACACAAGAGGAGCTCTGTACTTTACTCATCACACTAGTACTTCCACACTGCACTAAACGAGAGGAAAAAATTAATTAGATTTTTTTCATAGTGCATCTGCAGTTCTTCCAACAACACCTGAGGCAAGTTAAACCTCGTACGCTACTGCAGTCATGGCAATTTTGAGATCATCTTGGTCATCTTGTCCATTTCAATTTACTGTACCAGAGGGCTAGAACTGGTCATGCTGGTGAAAGTCATGCAGATCCTGCCTAAAACTTTTGTTCTAGCTGAATTCTTTAAATACAATCTCTCCTACACCACCTCACATGACAGAAAACATCCTTAGAAGTTGCTCTGTTGAGGCTAAAGATGATGATTTAGTCTTGTAATTTTATGTGCTTTTAGGTATGTGCAATTTTAAAAGGAAAAAGCTTGCATTTAATCACTTCTGACTGCTTCTATGCTTCAGTCAGAGAGACTTTTGCTTGCAAGACATGGACTCAGCCCAGGTCACCTTTGCTTTCCTACTCAGCTATCTAGAATTGGGCAGGACCACGAGGTACCAAGAGCGCACTGCTGACCACAGGTGTCCAAACTCTCTCCCTGCCTTCTAGCTGTCAGTTCCAGCTGATGGCAGTGTCCTTTTCACCTGCCCAGCTCACAAAAATGTTAACAGAGTGATGCTTAGGTAAGCAATGCAGAGATTTGTGCTCACTGTATTCAACAACAAGGGCTAAGCGATGGTGTCTGGGGTTGATGTTGGGCCACCCTTTCCGAGAAACATTACATCCCTCTGTGTCAGAGGCACCCCCTGGTGCACTCTGTGTCTTTGCAATCTTGAACTCGTACCAAGGATCAAAAGAGCTTCCCTTTGTGTGAGTTCATGCCAATGGGCAGCGTATGTTAAATAAACTGCTTCTCATTACCCTGCTATCACTCCTACTCCAGTGAGAAAGGACTATGTTACGATTTATCTTACATTGCTTTAAAACTGTCTTGAAGATAATATAAAAAAGAAATGTAACAATAAAATTTCTTATTCCAGAATAGGAGTATCCCCAAGGGTAAGGTATTCCTATAAAATTATTATAATGCTTTAACCACAAAAGCACAACTGAAAACGTCTTCTCTGAAAACAAGTCGTAGCTCTTTTTTCCTATCTGCAGCCATTATCCTGATAAATTTGGGAAGGTCAGCTAAGGTGTAATCCAATAAATGTGCTGATGTTCTGAGTAAGTACCTTACAATTTGCAGCCTAATCTATTATCCTACTATAAGACCATCAAATGACTCACCAGTTTTAATACTTAGTACAGATCAAACAAAGGAAAATATCAAAGCTTTACCTTCTAGTTCCACCTTTCAAGGACTTGTTTGAGTACTCTCTAATTACAGCAGATGATACATCTAACTCTGTCATTTTCTTTCTCTAACAGCTCTAGTTAGAAGCTGCTGTAGCAGTACTTTTCACAGGACATCATTATGTTAACCAAAAGATGCTAGGAAGTCAGATAGACTGAACAAATCAAACTGGGATTTGATCCCAGAGATGGAGTTCAGCTTCTTCTGCCCACCAGGCCACACGGTGTGTAACGCACCTGGGAGTCTCACCATCCAGGGGCTCCTGGGTGCAGGTGACAAGTCTGCAGAGACTCCACCCGAGTTGTGGCAGAAAGCCATGGGAACAAGCACATGCATGAATGGGAATGAGCACATCATCTTGGAGGGTGATGAACTTCGGAAGTCAGATCAAGTCCCAAACTTGGGCTATGACTTCAAATCCTCCAGAAACTCAAATACACCCGCAGATATTTGCATTTGGACACTATGATTTTTAATTTTTTTTCTTTTAATGGTAAAGGCATAAAATAAAAGTGAAAAAAACAACCTATTCACAGAACCCCAGATCCCAAAGGAAGAAGCATCAGGAAACTGTCAGCAGCACTGTCAGCAAACTGTAGATGCTCCATGAAATAGTACAGAAGTTACACATCCCCACAAAGATGTCAGAGCTAACTGGGAGTGTTGCTGAGGAAAATGGGGAGCACAAATCTCTTTCATCCAGCTCTAGCAGTGTTTTGAGTCTGAGCATTCTCCAGTAACAGTGTGTGCTGGTATGTGTTTGGCCCATGCAAACAAACTGAACACGGTTTATTCACCACAGCGCCTCAGCAGAACTCGTCTCATTTATCGCAACAACAAAAACTCGCTGGGAAAAGGGCAGAATTGTATCTGGTTTACATTTTTGGTCTTTTTGACTGACTAACCCAAATTAGACTATTTTTCAAATACAAGTCTGTAAGTTTATGCAATAACTGTGCACATGCCACTAAAAGCCAAGTTTATAGGGAGGTCCCTGCAGAAAGGATGGAAACTCAGAGCCTCTGTGTGCAGGGGGGACACTTTCAAAAGAGCACAAATCTGATTTCACTCTGCTTTTGCCTCATTTGCAGACTTGAAGAAGAGCAAATCTAAAGAGATTCCGATCACTGCTTTAGTTCTGCTCCAAAGGTATCACTTCTCAGTTACTTAAAAGAAATGGAGCAATGAAAACAACCAAAAAAGACAAATCAAAAAGAAAGCGTGTATGGATAGTGAGTATGCACCCATCACTGACTTATCTCTGATACTTTTGACTTTTGGGGCTTTACTAAGAGAAATACAGCATACATATAGCCGTATACAGCCTATAGACCCACATGCACGTAATAAATGAGACCAGTCATGAGACTAGGAAGGAAAGACGAGGCACAAACATATCTAGGATGATTTTAGGAGATCTCAAGAATTGCCCTTTTAAAAGTGCCACTTGGGTTTCACCACTTCCTCTGATAAAGAGATGACATCTCACCAAAACTTAAACAGCTCCACTCAAGCACTACCTAGATGAGTGACAAAAATTAGCCAAGTCACTGTCACCCCTGCAGTCCTTGTCTAGACACAGCAGAGAAGTGTGAATTCCAGTCTGCCTTGCTGGGCTACAGCTACCCTGACAGCCGAGCTCTGATCCAAGCCACTTCGTGAGATGCAGATCTCTGGATCCTTCTGGCAGCACGACAGACAAAAGTTAACAGAACAGAAAAACAACAAGAAAATAAAAGCACAAAAGTCCTTGTGAATCGAGAAGGTTTTAATTCACGAGTCATTGTTGGTTGAAAGTTGAGGCAAACGAAATGCCATTTTTTTGCGAGTATTTTTCTAACAATCTCTGTGGCAATCTGACAATTGGGATCAGAGGCCCTTTGCTCAGAGGTGCGGCAGCTTTTGAGCCGGTGCCCCCTCAGAGCAACTGCGCCCTTCTCCCCATTGACAGCCACATCTGGATGCTATCAGGAAGAATTGGCTGGCCTTCTCACAACAAATACCAAGCACTTAGCAAATTGACTCCAGAAGTCGATGCTGGTCCCCTTCCCACTCTGTGTTTAAGCAACGTGCAACTAACCTGTTGAGTCCGAGGCTTGTATGGAGAGCTGCTCTCTAGGTCGGCCAGGATGCTCGTCAGAGAGTCAATTTCTGCATCTAAACTGCACCGCCTCTCCTCAAGTGTCTTGCCACCAGGATTCACCTTAAAGAAGAAAGAAAAGTTCCAGTTATTCAAACCACTTGGCCTGGCACGTAACTTCTTACTGTCCTCACAGAGCTGCACCCATGCCCAGCAATAACTCTTGGGTTGCAGGGACAAACATGCTGAAATCCCATAGCTCCCTCCAGAATTAACAGCAAGCCTCCATCTCACATGAATTTAGACTGCTTTGGGGCTTTTCTTTCACGTATTTGCCACAAAGGTCCCATTGTGTAAAACTGACTTGGAGGATTAGCAATTCAGCAATCAGCAATCTGCTGCTAGAAGAGGAGGACAATCCCCACACTGTAAGATGGAGAAGATGGGTTATAGAAGGATACCTGTCTGGAAAGACAAAGCTGGGGACAGGCTCGGAGCACCTGGATCCCAAGAGCATCTCTTCTGCCATGTTCTCAACTCAGGCAAAACCCAAAGAGGAACAGAGCTACAAACCACGGTAACCAGTGACTGGCAACGTGCACCTATTCTTATTTAAATCAATTCTTGGTAGGTGTACCTGTCTGATTCAATGCTTCTTCACAGATTTCATCTGAAAAATGAGCTCTTTCAAGAAGGAGTGAAAAAGTTCAATCCATTTCTAGCAGACTGAAGGTGAAGGGTGTGATTTGCAACAAGCAGTCAAAAAATAACATAAGTAAGGTCCTTGTGAAAAGGCTTTTATGCAGGAAAGCCCATGCCCAGAGCAAATGTCAATATGCAGCCAAGGACCCTAATTCAATACATTTTGCTTTCTTTCTGCTTTTGAAACAGCCCAGTCCCATTTGTACCTAGGCTGGTAGGGAAAAGGAAGAGACGTGAATTTTCACCACCACCACCATTCACCTCAAAACGTAAAACCCAGACCTCAGTACCACAGCAGAGCGTGTAACCTTCAAGCCACTGTTTAAGGGCAGTACTGCAATCCCTGCTAGAATAAGCATTTTTAAAGGGGACTCATTCCCATGCTTTGTTTTTGATAAATCAACCTAGTCCAAAACCTCTAGGAAGGACCTTTGTGTTGTACAGCCCAACCAAATAGCAAGAGCTCTCAAGAGGACACAAAGTAGGTAAAGGCTAGGAAACATCCTCCTCAATGTCTTCAGTGCTTTGGGAACTAGACAGCTCCACTAGAAATGGGAAATTTAAGAAAAACAGCTAAGGATCCATGTCATGAACAAAGTAGGTGCTAGGAGCTAGCCCCACTGAGCCAGGCCACCACCAGGGCACGCAGAGAAACCAAAGTTCTTGAGTCAAGTGTACTATTACACTGAAAGCCTTTTTTCAACCTGAGTTGTCTTCTTTTCTTCCATGTTTTACTTATCTGCAAATCCCCTGGACAGGACAGAGTCTCCCTGTGAATGTGCAATTACAGAGTTCAGTGCAGAAGAGCTCAGAGTTTGACAATGTCAGTAATAAAAATACTAAAGAATTACCTAACAACTCTCCTAATTGCAATTACAAAAGCTGTTTAGACCATACTAGCACCTTGCTACAGATAATCCAGCTCTGTTTGCCTTCACTCTCACTAAGTTATTTCAATTTTCCAAGCCAAAAATTTGCCTTTTCCTTTGGCTTACTGGCTGTTCCAGATAGTTTTCATTTAAATTTCATTTTAGGTGCAGTTGATCATTACCTGTTTTAAAGAACTCTCCAGTCATCAATCTGTCAGATAAATGGCAAGTTGGTCAAAGAGAGATAGGCTATGCAAAGTAGGCCACCTCTGATCTGCCAAACTTATTCGTGCTGAGGCATCCATTAGTTCCTAATGATTATTAAATCTTATTGGACTACAATATATTTGGCTTGACTAACAAGAAAATGGAAGTTCTAGTGTGGCTTATGCAAGAACACACCATTTAAAAGGCTGAGAGTCAAGTTAAAAAATACTTACAAACTCGACTCTTCTTGCCTATTTTTATTATAGAGCCAAAGTCTTTCCATCCAAACCATTGTTCAAAAAAATAAATATTTTTCACAGAAATCAGCCCAGATCATTACTCCTGGCTAACTGCAGGCACCTGTTTTTTTTAAATCTGCAAAAGTGCAACTTCTTTTTCACTTCGTAGCTCTTATTTGGTTTTTCTTCTTCTTCCAGTTGTTGGCCTGTAACTGCCACAGGCTTCTCTGACAGAAAATCTGTGATTGCTCCACTCCAGAGAATTTTGAAGCTAAGCAGCCAAAAGTCAGCCTGGAAAGGAGAGGGGAGATGCAAAGGGCATCCAAGGCCCCAACATGTGAGCTAATAAATCAAGCCAATGGAAGACCCAGGAGTAACACTGGAGTCCACACAGGACTTGCTTGATACCTTGACCCTGGAGAGAAGGGAGGGTGGCAGATGAGAAGATCAGCCAATTTCATTTCTGCTTCTTAGCATTTCTGGGCCATATTATTCCCAGGTTCTCATTCCACAGAACAATTATGCAATAGCTGACTAGCAAATACTGCAGAACAAGTTATAAGGCTGTAAAAGCTAAATGTCCTTAGGAAACCTAGAAAAATAAAATAAAACACCATAGAAGCATCTCTATTGATTCTGGGCTCTGATTTATTTATTCAATTAAAATATAATCAACATAGATTAAGAGCCCAATTCTACAAATGCAGGAGCATAATGCAGTGCAACAGTGCCAACGAATGACACTACAGATGTATTCCAGGGCCTACTGGGGCAGAAAGGGACTTGAAAGACATTTAAGAAATGGTAATCCTCACAAAGACAGGTTTCTGGTTGCTTTTTCTTCCTCATCCCCACAAAGCTTGAATTTTTCTCTCCCTACAGTGTTCAATACTCAACCGAAGGATTTGCTGCATGGGCAAACTGGAGCATTTGCAACACCAACTTCAGCAACAGAGGGTTAAGTTATTCCTCTTCCCATGCTCTTTGTCATGATGTTACTATAAAAGTTTTATGATATTGTTCTGGAACAAAACCCGAGCGCCAGGTCCCAAGGCACAACAGGTTCACACAGACGCAGCTCTGCTCCGGGGAGCCCGGGCTGGCTGAGCTCAGAGCCCCGCAGATACAAACACCGGAACCAGAGGGAACTGCTAATTCTATTTCTGTCTGGATTTATGGCATTGTTGCAGACATGTCGCTTTTGCACCCCCTCTTCCAGCCAGCAGAATATGGAAAAATGGGTTTAAAAAGAAAAAGGATGCTATCTTTGGCTCACCCAACGTGAGTTCAACAAAAAGCAAACGTAAGCCAACCCAGTCCAACAAATTACTCATGCCAGAGACTATCCACTCACGTGAACTTTTGCAACGCCTACACTCCTATCCCCTGGCTCAGTCTGTGCTCTGAGTCAAAAGAGAGAAAAACAGCAGAGAGCTTCACTGCTTGGCTTGTTTGTCAGCCCCTGAATTCCTCGTGTGCAGCTCAGAGCAGCTCTGATGGTAATCCACTCCCGAGCCCCATCAACCTACTCTGCTCTGATGAAAATTTGCTTTAGTTTTGCTAATCCTATAACCCAACAGCAGTCAGTGCCACAGGTCCCCCACACAACTTCAAGGAACATTCATTACAGAACATGCAGCACCAGAGGTCAACACAGAGTCTCAAATTTTGCCTCACCGCGCTAAAACGGTTGTGAGACTATTCACCGAGCTAAAAGACATGAAAAGCACAATGATGTCCCTAGATGTCACCTCTTCCTACAACCCTAGATCACCTACTCTTATCATATTTTGCAGCTTTCAGCAGAGGAGCAAGAACATCTCTCGTTTAACCAAGCCAGCTCCTTGCAGTGGGCTCAAAAAGAATCTGGTTCCCAGATGTCCTTCCTAGCTCCTGCTCCAAATTCCTTTCCCTACCCAGGCCCAGCCGTCTCTCTTTTATTCTGTTTTCCCCTCTCTCCATGCCCTGTTTCCTGCCCTGCAGGGCTGTAGCTCAGGCCAGGCATTAGCCCCTGAGATGAGAGATGCAATGTGGCTGCCAGGTTGGCCTCTCAACCAAATTATTGGTGCCAGGTGGTGTTGTGTCAGGGAAACATGGAGTGTGGCTTTGCAGCAGTGACCTGCTGACAGGGGTGGTGGGCTACAAGTAACTCCCGAGCCCCAGCATGTATTTTCTACCAACACAGGGCAATGGCCAAACTCCTGAATACTTTGGGTATTTGACTTTGTTCACAGTAGAGCAATTTTCCAATATCAGTATCCACCACCTCTCCAACCACCTCAAAAGTCTTGTCTAACAGAGGTTGAGCTCAGCACATTTGCATATTTCCTGAGTGCAGTGGCCAGCTCATCCTCTGAACTGTGTCCCGGGAAGGTGATCTGTCGTTTGTGGGAAATGTAGTGCTGGTTTATCTGTGCAGACACCTCCAAGACAGCAGAGCTGCAGCTAAACACACAACCTTTCTTGTAGCATCAGCTCATTTCACAAGCTGTGCTATCACAGGTCACTGATAACCTCCTAACTCACAAGTGAAAGACTGGAGATGAACACCGTGGATATTAGGAAAGGTCACAGCTAATGACTCAAAACAAAGCTGAGGGCCCACAGTGCCTTCTGTTCCTGGTACATTGGTTTTAGCCTGAGGTGCTTGGGAGCTCTCTTTGAGCTGTAACACATCAACACTTTTTTCATTTACACATCCAAGAACAGGGAAAAGCAGAAAAGCCTTCTGGGGCAAAGGAAGGACAAAGGTAACAAGAGGAGCAGGTGGAATTTAGGCAAATCAGGAGTTGTGAGCAAGTAGGCTGCACCCACCCCACGGCAGCCACCCACCAAGCTGTGCAGGCTGTTGTAATCCTGGGATAGGCACTGAGGTGGTGGGAAGAGCAAATAAAACAGGAGTGAGCCTCTCCTTATGCTCCATGGCCTTGGACACTGGGCTTTGACAGAGATGCAGACAGAGCAAGAAGGATGCAGTTCTTATTTCCTATTTTAGCTGGGGACAGGTGAGGGACATAAAAGTGTTTGATGTCAATAGTATCCACTGTACTGACAAGAAGAGACAGTGAGAAATGTTAACCAGGAAGAAGAAAGGAAGTGATTCAGT